TTTTTTTTTAGTCTGGATTAAAAATACGTCCATGGGCACGCTTTGTCTGGTCAGACCAATTGGCTGAATAGGAGTTCAACACATCACACGTCGTATGGGTGCGGCTTACTTGCTATACAAAAAAGGATGAAAACAATCCATAGGCTAGGTGAGATGCATTCCAATACTTAGCGTTCTTTTTATTGCGATTACAAATGAAATGGGTAGTCGGTTTTCCTTGTGCTGTCAATTGGTAATGCCATGTGACTCTCTCACATTGTGAGAAGAGGTATGTCACGTCATCTGACTCAGTGGTCAATCGTGAAAGAGCTTGCCAGTGACGTTTAGGCCATCGCGATCTGCTGCGTTGATCAATGCTGCGAGCTGGTCAACTTCAAATTGCATCTCTTGTCCGTTTCGAAAACGAACAGTCCACTTGAAGACGCCTCTGGGTCCTTCACAACCTATCCAGTCCTCAATCTGCCCCGGCACGTTGCGTCTGGTTATGGCACCACCCTCGCCTGTGCACTCCATTAGCATAGTGATATTCCATCCTATGGGCATTGGCGGCTTTTTCACAAGATCTTTCTCCAGTTTCGACACTGCAAAGTAGCCCGTGTCATCTTCCTGTAGTGCGTTGCGAACCTTGCGTTGTCCACCACTCTTCTTTCGGGTAGGGAGATGGAGTACCGCTGTCTTTAAGTCATACTCTTTCATCAGCAACATAGCAGCAAGAACGTGGCTACATAGCCATCCAGACGTCCAAAATCCCTTGCAGTCACATTGATACCGCGAGCGAATGGCTCGAATCTGCGGTACATTATCAGCAATGTCAGAATTCACTTAAAAAAAATTAAAGTACACAATTACCTGCTCTGCAGGGATAATTGGATTCAGATCCAAGCGCAATGCAGACGTGTAGACCGGTGGTAGCACTTGTATTTCGTGTAACGATAAGTAGTACAGCTGAAAGTCGGGAACTCTGGATCCCTTTCGTAATTTCCCTGACTTCGAGTCCAAATACCTAAGTAAAAAAACACATTAATTAAAGTAGAACTTACACTTAGCGCAGTCTTTACCGTTCAGCACGCGTGGCGTTGACTACCTGGCCTGTTGCATTGTTGTATCGCACAGCGTACTCCCAAGTATTGAAGACGAATGATTTTATCTTCTGCTCATCGTCAGGGTCTATTTTCTTGAACACATTTTTTTTTCTGTTACGAAGATGCGTGCGTGTACAACCATTTCCCCAATTATTGGCCCCTCAGCAAAGTGACTGAAGCTCTTGATAAATTTGTCGCAGTCGAGGTAAAGCACTGAAGGCAGTGTATCGTTGAAACCACGGATGTAGCAGCGTGTTTGGAGGGTACGCAGACAGTTTTAAGGGCTTGATGGTGAGATTCGATTGGGTTTTGTGAAGGCAACACCCCAGGAGCTGCCACCGTGCAAAACCATGCCCCCCAGCGTTCGCCAAGGTACTGAGCAGTGAACCACGATGCATATTCCTTTTCATGTTTAGTGATCCAGAATTTCGTACATTTTTCCGCCAATGCGAGAAACTGCTGAGGAGAACGAGCTAATTCGAGCCCATGGATAGTCTTATCAACATGATTGCCATAGAACGTTGGATCTCGCAGCAACCCGGATTTTTCATACGCTTTACAAGATAGATGTGGGTAGCAGTTCAGAATGCCAATACCCGGCCAAATCGCTTGTAGGCGTTTGCGATGTATGTAGCGTGGTCTTGAC